GTAAATTGGCTATCAAATTTACATTCAATTTAATTTGTTTTTGCTAAAGACCTCTGAGAAATATAATCCAAAGAGAGCAGTTGTTAGTTAAATTTTTTTTTTAATTTCTCAGCATAAAAGGAAAATCAAATCAGTAAGTAGAGTCTGATCACGGATTAAGTCTGGAGACCCAGAGAGCTAAACGACAGTCCGTCACCACTAGCTTTATCAGCATCCTCACCTGTCTGGCTGTAGAAAAGGGTCTTACCGCTCAGAGCTTCCGATGTGCAGGTGACCACCTTTTACAATGCACTTTCAACATTTCCTAATTTTGTAACAGCTTTTTTAGAATTGGGTTCCTTATCAGTAAAATTATCAGGGCTAACCTCACCAAGATTCAGTTGCCTTTACTGATTGCACGTTCATTTTATATCCAATGTGGTACAAATATGCCTGCATATTTAGTTAATTAGTCTTGATCGCAATGTTCTCTTTTTGGGGCCCAAATGTGACACTAGTTAATCATTCGAAAAATTAAAATAAATTAAAAGACCAATTCTACTTAGAAATCTAGATCATTTTACATTAATTGAGGCCAATGTGCAATGATAACATCAGAAATGCAGTAGACAAATTAAAAAGGTAATCAATTCATAATCACAAATTGCAATTTTTCATATTTGTTATAATTATTTGTATATTAGTAATTAGGGCTGCACGATTAATCGAATGTGATTGTCATGCGCATTTTGATAGTAAAGCCGGTTCTGTAATCAGCAGGAAATCATCATCACGTGCTTTCAGATGGAGCATTTATCGTGCAGCCCTATTAGTAATTGATAAACAGATTATTGTCATATTGCTTGAATATTAGTTTAGCATCAAATATTGTATTTTCAATCTGCTCATTTATCTACATTTGTATTACTTGAATATTTTTTTTATATTATATATTTTTATATTATATTAATATTGTGAAACTGAATTCTTTATCTATATTGATCATTGATTGACTCTTTTTAAAAGTATTTGTTGATTTCTTAGTTTGTTTTTTTATTAATTGATTTCTCAATTTCTCAAATGAATATCACATTTGGCCCCTATAATAAGTGCTTTAATATGTGATTAGAAACCTCCTGCTCAATGAAAGTGGTCACAAGACACATTTGAGATGCATGTTCATACCAGGTTTAAGCACCACTTGTGGTTGGATCATTCATAACAAATGTATAAAAAGGGCTAAAATCTTAATATTGGTTCATTGCACTTACATTTTTTTATTGTAATGTTGCATTTTATTATGCAGTAATTTTTCTCTCTGATCTGGATTTAAGGCTGCCAGCTTACGTTGACTCCTTAAATTTGATCTTTGCCATTCGAAAAGGCCATGCCTATTTGAACTTCAGACTTCCTCCATGAGTCAAATATTCAACAAGCTCACTCAAACCCCAAAGACATAAATGTTCCACTCACTAAAGAATTGTTTCAAACCAAATGTCAAATTTTTCAACACGTGCCACATGATCTGATCGCTCAAACAAACAGGCAACCATTATACAAAGACAACCCTCAACGTATGTCTGTAATTTGCCATCTGTCATCTCTCTATTCCAAATACTGTTGAATTATGTTTATGTTTATGTTGATGTATTTGGCTTTGCTGTGGTGGCCTTCAAAGGCCAGGTAAATACCTGAGCCCTTATAGTTATGTGAGTTTATATATCAAGCTAAGTCTATCACTTTCTTTCTCCGGTGTGAAATTTCCACCCTCTAAGTGGATATGAATGAAACGCTTTTCTGCCCGGTTGTAACAACCAGCTTTTTTTAATGCAGGACATTTGAAAGCCTCACCGAACAAGGACAGCAGGCACCTGACGATAATTGGCCCATATAAAGTGGAAAAAAAAACCTTTTAGAATCAAAGGCTGCCTGGATGCTGCGATCTGTGCGGAAGCTAATTGTTTGATTCGGGGCCACGAAAGAGATTTTTTTGAATGGGACGTGTCGGCCTAAAAAGAACAGAACAGCTGGGTACATCCGTGCGCTTGGAACTCACTCTCTCTCTTTCTCTCTCTCTCACTGTAGTTTTTATCACCCAAAAAAAACATACACTTTTATGAATCTTTCTTTTTATTTCTTTCCCCCGAACAGATGCTCACACCTTATTTTCTTTTCTATGTTGATCAGCAGCAGATTTGTATTGCGCGTTTGTTTGAGTACATTTTTTACAGATTTTAAAGATGTAAATAGTGAGTGCTTTTAAGGTAGAACTAGACATTAAATAGTCTTTATTTTTTGTTTTCCTTTCATCTGTTTTCTTTTCTTTTAAATTAGACCGTATATTAGTGGTGTCTCTCTCAGACCCTAACCCACATCCAAAATGTCACATAAAATGGGCCAATCATAACATGTTGGGGACATACGACTTATATGCTACTGATAACACGTAATACATTTAAGAAATGTGCCTGTGACTCCTGTGTCTTGATGTCTGTTTTATTCTATAGTTGATGCTAAAATTCTAGTGTGTATGTGCTATAAGAGGATTGGATCTTGTGTGGGCAAGAGCAACTCATCCAATTGTAGGGTAGATGGAAAGGAGAGCGGATCCAGTCTGGGCTCAGTGGGCTGATGGTTAAAGGTGGTAGTGGCTCTTCAGTATGAAGAGTTTTGTCTCATTACTGTTGCAGTCTTTTATTATGGCCTGCTTTGTTCTCTATCATTTGTTCACTTTGCAATACCTCTTGGCCCCAGTTTTTCTGCATCCACAAAAGGTTTTGTCAGCTAACCCAAGTCCTATGTGGGGGTTACTGAAATGGGTTGTGATGCATTCACATTGCTTAAAGATGACCTGGAGATGCTAAGGAGGGGAAGAAAAGCTATTGAAGTGCGATAGAAAGGAAGGAACATTAGTCCCTGCCTTAATTTGAATATGCATATTTCAAACTTATACCATCTGTTGTTTCTGTTAAGATTTTGATTCTTCCTTGTCCCAATGTTTTTGTTGGAGGTCTAACGAGGTAGCACTTTAAAATCAGCCAGTGTTTTTTTCTGCAGAACCGGATAGTTCATCCAAAAATGAAAGTTCTGTCATTATTTACTCTCCTTCAAGTTGTTCAAAACCTGTATGAGTGTCCTTGTTCTGATGAACATAAAAGAAGACATTTTAGTGAATGTGGGTAACCAAACACCATGGGGAAAATAAAAAACGATGGATGTCAATGGGGAACAGATATTGTCTGGTTCCCAACATTCTTCAAAACATCTAATTTTGTGTTCATACAGGTTTGGAAAAACTTGAGAGTGAGTAAATTGACAGAATTTAAATTTTTGGGTGGACTATTCCTTTAGTGGTCAACTAGAGGTGTAAAAATTTCTTCTGATAGTATGATTACAATTCTTTGATTCTTTCACTATTCCAATGCATCAGAATAATCGGAAATTCAATCATGACTCGATCCAATCTAATCCAATCCATTTGAATAATTTCTAATTATTTCCAAAAGTATGCTGCCAGATATTTTATTTCATTATTTTTTATTGTTTCACTTTATAATTTTTTTTTTATATATTTGTTCAATTACATTTTGGTTGGGTTGGTTTGAATTGGATCCCAGTTGTCCAGTTTACGTCTAGATCATCTCTCATCAAAACACTGCTGATCAACGCTTAATGAGCAAACTTTATTCAAATCATTAGGCCGACAGAATAACAGACCTTTGTTTAAGAGGGTCATGCATGCCATCCATTTGAAGCAGAAGCAGAGACCATCCTCTTTCCACCTTTCTCAAGCGCGCGCACACGTACACCCTTTTTCTCAAGCCAAATCACATAGTTTGCTTGAACCCAGCTTAGGCTTTTTTCCACACACTTCTACTAAAGTACCCTGTAGAGCATACAAGGACAGCAGATCAAATGGGAAGATCCAGCTGTAGGTGGGAAAAGAGGGAGTGTAGGGTCAGGTGGAGAGAATGGGTTCCAAGGGACTGCTGTTTACATCAAAAAGATGGGCAGTGCATCTGTCTCAAGCAAACACATGTGTGAACACACGCACGCACAACCTTATGCCATCTTTTTTTTTATTTTTAAGTGGATGTCAGCTTGAATAGGGGACATCAAAGCTGGGGCCTTGTCGTCTTTCACGCTTATGGAGCCACAAAGCCCCACCCTGGGGTTCTTGTCCCGTGGAACTCGGCGGACTGCTTGAAAGTGGAGCGAGTTGTAGCCTTTGCAGCAAGAAAACCGAGAGACCTTCTCGCACTAAAGGACCGAACACCTCCTCCGGAGCCGTAACGTCTATTC